AAACATCAATAACTTAATTAAAAAATTGTTATTGATTTGATGATTTCATGTATTTGCCCCCGCTTTAGCCATCCCCCTTTTTTGTAGTCTTTGTCGATGAAATGTACCTGTCGGTGAAATGATTGTCAGTGAAATGATCCAGAGAAATAAAAGTCAAACATGTGTTTTAAAGTATAACGATTACACATTTCGTAAAAACTTATAAATTCAAAAATCAAACCGAACATGATAATCTAGACTTGTCGTATGTCTAATCAAGGCCTTCTTCAGTTCTATGATTAATGCGCGTGACTCTAGTTTAATTAAGTAATAATCTTTACCGTTTTAGTGAATCCAATACAATTAATTACCCAATGAATAATTTATCGTAGACATTGTAACGCCACATACGCAATATTCTTATCTAGAACGTGATTATCGTAAACAACAAGCATTTTGCCTGACGATAAAACGTACGAAGGAGAATATGAATCAGAAATTGAAAAAAGTGATGGCCAAATCACTTATGCATCAAATGAACGTGGACGATATTGTAGTGAGCGATTACATTAACGTTGACACGATAGAAGTAGCTACTAGAGAGATACAATTGTTGTAATGCAGGAAGCACCAGAGAAAGAAGACGGGAAAGAGGGAGTATGCAATACTGTATCAAATATATATCTGCTTTGAATAGATTCGACTATTTACAACAAATCTTGACGTAAAAGTAATGTATCAGTAATCTCAGCGTTGGCGTCAAATTGGAAGAAAGCAAATGCTCTCTAAAGCAGCTCACATTCGAGAGTTTGTAATCGAAAACTCCTGCATAATATCTAAATACTTTTGTTGTCTGTCGTTACATATTTAATATTCGTGCTATCGCTTAGTTCAATAAAAGCGCGACCCGTTATTGAGAGACTATTTAATAATGATTTAATTGAGAATTTCCATATCTTCGCGACTGCCAAGTTCTCTTTGCGTTTTGGCGTTAAGAAGTCTATTGCAGGCGTTTACGGTATTTCGTTGTGACAACATTGAAAAGTGTCATAATTTTTGATAATGCATACCATTCAATACGTTTCTTTAACTAACATCAAGCCTACGAATTACGAGTTCTTAACTGCCGAGTGTTTTGTTTCGTTACTTGTAACGACCCATTTATAAACTGGTAATCATTTTCCTGAATGCTGTTCCAAGGTTTATTGTCCGTTTCAATGCGCAAACATTATTATGCTCTTATAAAAATCGATAAGTATGTCGTCTTATAATGTCCATGAACATGATCATAATTCAGGAAAGTCTGATTTTTGTTGCTACCAATATTTAAAAATCAGTAGAAATGGCTGAACAAATCCATGATGCCACCATGAGGAAAATTCACGATTTTTACAATATCTCGGTCCGCGTATCTATTTGACCAGTAACCAATTGTTTTGTAATAATTGTCAAGTCGCAGCCGATTGTATCTGTATTTGTAATCATAATAGAAATACTCGCAAATTGAAGGACTGGGGATATAAAGCGATCCCAATGGTTTGTTTTTTTATATCAATCACGCTTTGATAATATATGTGAGCTTTGTCAAAAAAGTACCTCTACTTATTAATCAACGAATGTGCAAGCGCATGATTGTTCATCATCAGCAACACACCTTCCCCGCATGCGAGCTGCCTGCGCCACGTTTATACGCACACTAATGATGTGTACTTTCGCTATAATAAATAACCAACTATACTGTTTCCAAAGTTTTTTTTTTTTGTTTTCAAAGTCACCATCCACTATAATTTCCTGAGACCAAACAACCAAGCGGGGATCTAATCGAATATCCTCGCATGAACTTCCATGTCGAGTCGCTACTTAATGTACGGGTTTCTCTCTTGATACTATGCAGTTTAATCTTCTTGGCGACGCTATTCTTTTTTCGTCTTTTCATTTCTTGTGATTTTTCTGTACGCACAATGGGTGTTTCGCTCTGTTTGTTGATGATGTGAAGCTGTAGCGTTACAAAAAGTTACCTGCTATCAATTAATGAGATTTTAATCTTTTGATCAAAAGGTGGGATATTCAATATGACATTTCTCACAACTAGATTCGAATTACGCATTACGGTAACTGTGAATAGTCTGACTATAACGAACGATCTTTCATCAACTGATCGCTCAGTCTTGTTTAAAATGCGAGGAGTGATCTTTTCACGTCGTAATTTTATTTTTCGGGCTCCAAAGTGGGCTTAATGTAAATGTAAATTAATTCATATTATGATAATCCTATCTATATTAAATCAATCGATGTTATTATTATTGCATATTAATAGGCTTAAAGTTAGTTCATGTGGTTGAACTATCGTCGGTTTACCTCGATAATTTGTGATCAAAATGTTCACATTGTTTCCCCTGAGATTTGTTTGTGGCGTTGTAATCACGTTTGCCTGTTCTGTTTCATCTGCTTCCTCACAACCCCATATGAAGTAATTCGATTTTTTTAACGAAACACTAAACTGGTTCATTCTGTTGGGCGTTGAGATCGTCATATCACAATGACTAGTCAACCTTCTTGTTGCGTAAATTTTCTACCTTAATTTGATGATATACGACAACTATGTCAGTTTGACACCTTTAATCGACACGTGCAAACTTACGAATTTCCTGGAATGGGTTTCATTGTGAAATATGAATGGGGCCATCTTACCAAATAAAGATGAGAATTTTGGAGTACCAAAGTTTATTCCTTATTCGGTTTCACCGTGAATATTTCATGTGTCAACCGCATTCTCTATGTCACACCGCATTTATTCAAAAATTTTAATTTATTTTCCCATTAACACCCGCCATTTTTTATTCTTGAACAAAAAAAAATTTTTTCTTTTACCTTTTTGCGAGAGCTTTCTTTTCGAAATTCTCGATATCTAGAATCAAGAAATGGCATTCATAACGTCCGAGCGCCCGTTTGGCATCTATCTATATGACTACTTTGCAAAATCATACGAGTTTGTTACTGGAAATGATCCTTCCGATTTTCGATTTATATCTGGCGTCACTCCATTATCTACTATGGGTGAAGTCAGTTTTGCATGTATCGCTTATTATGCATTAATACTTGGCGGACAGTCTATGATGAAGAATGTTCCCGAGATCAAAGCAAAGATTTTGTTCCAGTTGCATAATCTTGCTCTGACGACAGTTTCGCTTGCGCTTCTGTTGCTGTTTGTAGAGCAACTGTTTCCTATTCTCTACAATAATGGGTTATTCTACGCTATATGCAATAATGGTGCTTGGACCCAGAAATTAGAGCTGCTGTATTATTTGAATAATTTGGTCAAGTACTGGGAATTTCTTGATACTATGTTCTTGGTCCTTAGGAAAAAGCAACTTGGTAAGTGACGCGGTGAATGGGGCTAGCAATCCAATCCATAGTCTCACTAATCCATTTGTTGCCATTTATGTTAGAATTCCTTCATTGGTACCATCATAGCATGACAGCAGCTCTTTGCTTTTCTCAACTTATTGGACGTACATCAGTGGTATGTATAATGTCGAATGTTTTCGAATGAATGGCAGAAATTTTACATCACTCAAATACAATGTGCGTTTTCTCCCCTCCTCCTTTAGTCATGGGTTCCAATCACACTCAACCTCACGGTCCACGTATTCATGTATTATTACTATTTTCGAGCAGCTGGTGGAGCCCGCATCTGGTGGAAGAAATACCTGACATCGATGCAAATTGGCCAATTCATCGCCGACTTGGGCTTTGTCTATTTCTGCACCTATACCTACTTTAGTGAAAAGTACTTCCCGTGGATGCCAAACGCAGGATCATGTGCTGGAAATTCGTACGCTGCCGTCTTTGGGTGCGTATTGCTCAGCAGCTATTTACTCTTGTTCATTCAGTTCTTTAAAAAGACATACAGCAAGCGACCTAGTGGAAAGGTGCCACCGGCTGGCCATTCGATTAATGGAAAGGGTCCTAAAACTGAATGAGTCGTTAGTTCTGAAAATGGAATAGTAGCTAATAGATAAAGAATATCAACATATTTATTAATGATCAGTTGATGCAGTTGAGAGGCATGTTAATTAATATCGATCCTATAGACTGATCTGTAGTTATTATAAAAATGGGACACATATACCTATAATATATATGATGATAATAGAATTATTACTATTTAAATCTTCTCACAACATGTCTTCTTATCGTGAATAATTATATAGTTTGCGAATGCATAAAATCCGTGTGATAATAAACGCACGTTAATCCAAGCGATAATAATAATACAATAAGTACAATCGTATTTAACAAATGCACAGATCGGTAATTATAACAACGAGTAGAATATTCTTAAGTCCATCATTTAATTCATTAGCATCTCTACGTTTCACTCTCGCGATCACGCCTGGCAGTTTTGATCATGATGCAATATTCGTTATCTCTCCATTATTGACAAGCCTATCGTCCATACTCTCAACCGAACGCTCGCCCATACTCGAATTCTCGCACATACTCTCAACCGAACGCTCGCCCATACTCTCACTCACGCCGACACTTTCAATCACAGTCTTGTCTACACTCTCAACCACACTATCATCCATGTTTGCTACGCTCACACTCTCATCCATAGTCTTGCCCACATTCTCAACAACAGTTTCGCCCGCGTTCGCAAAGTTCTCAACACTACGCGTGCCCGTACTCGCACCAATGCTTTCGTGTGTCTCTACATTAGCCCTTACGCCATTCGTCTCTCTCATGCTCAAATTCCTCTCCTGCATCTGTAACAATCTAGCCTTGTCAATTGACTGTGATACATAGTCATCATTTGGCTGCAACTTCAATACTGTGTAGTAGCATTCTAACGCCTTGTCATACATGCCAATTGCAGTATAGAGATCTCCCTTTCCGGTCAACGCATAGACACTCGTAGGATTGATTTCCAATGCTTTATTCAGGTCAGCCAATGCCTCGTCATAATTTCCTAGTACGTAATACGCTTCTCCCCTGTAAGTATAAGCCAACGCGTTTGATGGATTGTTGTTGATAGCTTGAGTCAGATGTCTAATAGCCAATGAATATTTCTTTAACGTGCAACAGACGGATCCAAATATGACGAGCGCGAAATTGTTATTTGGTTCTATTTCTAATGATCGACTCAAGTCTGCAAACGCCTTGTCATATAATTGCAACCGCCTGTATATATCGCCCCTGTTTCTTAATGCGTATGCATCGTTTGGTTCCAATTCCAACGCATGCGTGAAATCAGAGAGAGCAATGTCCGGTTGGTTGTGACTTTTGTAATATGCTCCACGTGATCTGAGTGCAAACGCGTCATTTGCTTGAATTCTGAAGCAGTTGTTTAGATCAGTTAATGCCATATCATCTTTTCCAGTCATTCGATACAAGTCTCCTCGTCTGCTCAGCGCAAACGTGTCATTCGGGTTGAGTTCGATTGCCCTGTTGAGATTTTCAAGTGCCAAATTGACCTTGCCCAGAAACCTATATGTATCCCCTAGATGAGCTAACGCACGAGAGTGTTCGGGGTTTTCGGCAATGACATTACGCAGGTCTTGGATCGCCAAGTCGTATTTTTTCATTTCTTTGTACAATCTACCTCTCTCGAATAAAACTTCTGCATGATCTGTGCCCGATTCCAACGCAGAGTTTAGATCATTCAGCGCCTCGGTGTTTCTGCCCATTAGTCTGTATACATCGGCACGCGCTCTTATAGCACGCGAGTTGTTATTGTCTAATTGTAGGATGAGGTTAAAATCGTCCAGCGCCTGTGGATAAAGCGCGAGTGTTGTGTACACACTCCCTCTGCTAAACAGGATCTTGGTGTCGTTCGGATTGGACAAGAGCGCCTTGTTGAAATCGGCCAGCGCCGCTTGCAGTTGTCCAGATTTTGATAGACAGTCTCCTCGCAAGTAAAGTGCTCGGCTATTATCCGGATCAACTGCAAGGAGCTTGTTGAAATTAGATATTGCAACCGAGTATTGCCCGATACTCCAATTCATTTCAGCCAGTTTCCTCAGCGCAAACTTGTCGGATAGCTTGAGTACGAGAGCTCGGTTGAAATCGTCAGTTGCTTTTTGGTATTTGCCTTGTGCATAGTAAGTTGCGCCTCTGCTGTTCCATAAATGTTTACTGAACAGATCAAATTCTAATGCTTTATTCAGACAGCGTAACGCTATCTCGTACATATGAGCAATGCGGCAATATTCTCCTGCGAGTAAAAGGCCCCGCGATTCGTTAGGTCTCATTGCTATTGCAAGGTTCAAATCGTCGAACGCAGCAGACAAGTTTTTCGTTGCCGCGTATGCCATTGCTCTGTTGCAAAGAGTGGTGTAGCTGTTTTTGTTGTGTTCGAGTGCTTCTGAGAGATAATCGATCGCATTTGCATAGTTTCCTTGTCGATATTCCTCTTCTCCCTTTGCGCGGGATGGATGAGGTGGTTTGCGCATAAAATCCATATTGAATTTCTTACCGAACGGGAGTTTCTGGAGATCCGCATAGTCTGGTGGATTAGTGTCTTTTATTTGAAGGTACTCCTTCACATCGATCGATATGGGTGAATTTGACGGCATTGTATCGTAGATAATAGTGCTGAAAACTATTCAGTCGGGCGTTAATTAACGCTTGAGAAAGTTTTTTGTATGTAATATGTATATGTCTACTGGTTCTCTAAATTTCTCTTGATTCCCTCGCTAAATTGAGTTTGTCTGTTTTGTTTTCCGACATTTATTAATTGTTTGACCTTCTACAAGCACTAAAAAGGAATTTGATGAACATTACGACATTTGTGTTACTACCTAATTATTAATCATAACCAATATTAGTTGGAAGACGTTCTACACACAATTGGAATAAACCAAAGTGAAGATATGATGTCAATTTGGCGTTTCCCATTGGACGGCTCAACTTTGACTTCTCGTTCTTACAATATGTTGATATTTGGATTTTCGTAATAATTGATTACACCAGATATGGTCGGTACAAATATATAAAAGAGGTTTAAAATCTGATTTGCCCAATCTAAATCTTAATATGAGGTTCTTCGGGTTATCGGAAACGGTTTGCTCATTGGATCTCTCTCGCATTGTTGGTTAAAAATTTAGAATCTCATTCAGTTGACAGGCCCAAATAAGTTTATTTTAGAAAAGTTTTACGTTGCCCAAATTTGTACATTTATAGTGGCCGTAATAGTAACCTAATGTGTAACAAACGAAGTCTTAATTGTAAAAGTCATTTTCAGCCGTAAAATTAGTGCTTAAACAAGAGGTTTAATTTATATATCAAGGTTCGGCGGTTATCCCACTCTGTGATATGCTATTTTTCTCTCATTAGAAATTTCGAAGTGTCTATCTTTTGCTACGCTTTATACATTAATATAGTTAATAAATGCCCACTGGTTCCGAAACATTTAGTTGTCTCTATGCTGTTAACTATGTAAAATATTCATCTAATATCATTACAGCATTGCCGTGTTAATACAATTGGCCTGCACTCTTGCCACAACAGAGCTCACGCTGATGGCACCCTTCTGACATTGAACACTTCCAATCCCTGTGTCATGGAAATGTCAGATGAGGCAACTCACTGTCATTATTTACTGTAAGATTTCAACGGGTGAATTATTAAAGAACGCGTTTATTTATCTATAACTGTTTGTTTTAATTTATACACGCGCAATTTATCTAAATACAAAGTCCTTTGTTTTTGCACTTTATGCAAATGTCAATTAATTACCACAGGCAACTAGCGATTAACCTTGGGATTTAATTTCTTCAAACGAACCTGGTTGTTACCTATAACTAACTATTTGGTTTCTATATTTTACGTTCGGTCTTGGATATGCAGATTTTCAATTACTAATTAACAGCCTCTACTCTTAGCGATGAAATTAATTCGATAGTTGTAGGTACGATCGGGAAAAGTTTAGAAAGGGCATTTATAAATTGTTTCTATGGTTCTCTTATTTCAGCAATTTGTTACTACTTAGTAGTAAAATTCAATGATTTACACGCCACTAAAGCAATGGAATACTACTAATAAATCAATAAATTGATCGATGGACGTATTGGTAAGTCAACAACAGATACTGTATAGTAGATATGCAAATCAGAAAGATATGATATGTAGTGCGTTCAAAAAGTTTTGACACAGTGCAATTATCTCAGCGCTTGATTATCCTGGACTTGGAACATAATAAAGCTCGAGTACCATTCATTAATGGTAAAAAGTTTGACCCATTTGATTGATGATTGTTACTAAGACGATAGAAAATCCTACTCGTAGCGGAATAATAAACCGTTTGATGACAATTACAGAGAGTTAGTCACTGTTAGAGAAAATAAAACATTCTTTAAACATACTATTGACTGCTGAATTGAAGCATTCGGAGTCGAACTATTGAGCATTAAACATAGACCTTCCGTTCTCACTTCCCACAAAGCCGTTACATTTCGAACATTAATATTATTGGAGATATTACATCCATAGTACATTCAGAAGTGCATGCCTTCTCAACCGAAAGTATTAAAAGCATTTTACATCATGAAATTTTATCAAAAAGCAATATGCTAAATACGTCCCATTTCTACAATGCGACGAGTCATCACTAAGTACCTTTGGGAAGAATGAGTCATATTACTTCCATACAGACTCTTATGTCTCCGCGCGACTGTTTCCATTTTCAAAAGCTAAAAGAAAGGGTAGGTTTGATGGAGCTTCTTATACTATATAAAATTAGGAATCAGTAGAGCACCACAAGAAGGATATTTTGAGAGTTTTTAGAGCTGGTGTAAAAAGGCTAAGATGCTGTATAGAAGTTAAAGGAGAGCAGATAAAAATTTTATAATCATGTGTCAATACTCCACACGTATGTTACTGAATCTGTATAATCGTTTCTACTAATTTTACTGTTTACGCGTCAAAGCTTTGTCGTCTACTCTGATAACTTCATAATATCAGAATTTATTATTATAACAAGGAAACCCTTAACGTTAAGGAACGTTATAATAAATTCTGTATATGTAAGGTAATCGAGAATTATTTGGCATTTCTGTTTTGGCAATCCGCTCGATTCGCAACCAATAAGCGACATCTAATCAGCATTGTTTATGTGATAATATCGAAATAAAATGTGCCTGGGCCGGTCCGATTCTGAATTTCGCTTCGGGAGAACCTTTCAAAGTACCGATTACTCTGTTGACGGTTACACTAATATGTACACGATCTTATCTCGTTATTTTTGGGATTTCAAATCAATGAATGAGAGATCAAAAATCTGTCAAGTCTTTCTTCACCCTACATGCGAGATTTGATTTCACGAATGAAAGCGGTCATCCATCATTACTTTATAGCATTAATTAATTAAATTAAATCTTCCAGTACAAGCATACACAACATAACATAATCTAGATTCATCTTAACCTAGATGCATACTGGTCACTAGTAAATCAAATACAGAATATATTATAAATATTTACACGATATCGAGCAGTTGCATTTTTGGCAAGAAAACGTAGAATCTTCCAAACGTCTTTATAATGTTTATTGTAACATTAAACAAAATTTATGCAACAATAAAAAGACAACTTGCTTTTTCTTGATTGGCATTTATTCCATCTAAATACCGATGAATCAGACGTGTGTGTACCAACATCATGCCATAGTACTAGTAAAGCATACTCAAACCCACCGATGTAAGTATTTTATACCTTTTTCTCGTGAAGCTTTAAAAGTTTGTCTGTTTTGGTTTCACGGAGGGAATGATTATGTTCCCGATTCCTGCAATCAGAAATAGCAAATCAACCATGAGATGTGTAACTTCCAGCTGCATGGCCCATCCAATCGTTACTAATCCAACAACGAACATCTTTTTGTTCTTCGGTTATTTACAATTGCCCCCCATAGTAATAGTTATAGCTCAAACGACTTGCAACATCGACTTGCTTCCCTACATTTTTTTATATTTATCCCGTTTTTACCACTCCTTTGCACATTAACTTTCATTCAACATTTCTATAATTGCCTCATATTCGTTCTGTTAGCACTTTTGCGCAAGAGATCGCTGAGCCAATTGCAAATTCTACTCGAAAATAACTTGACTCCATTAATAATAGCCGTTTTGCTAGAACAAAAACCTCCAATTAATCCATCAAAGTTCTTTTCCTCTATGAGAATTTGTGTATATTCTGTTGTATAAATTTGTATATTGTTGGAATGCACCATCCTATTTTAACAGGAAACACAAATTACAAGGGAAGCAGTTAAATCAAAAATCTGCGACAACAACGACATCGACGGTAACCGCTACACATTACAACTATAGCAACGACAATAGCGACACGCAACAGCTACCAGCGCCAAAAAACAGCTAGAGGTGAGGGAAGGTAAAGTACAAGTGGGGAAGGAATCATGCATTCTCTTCTGCCATCCCATCCGTACCCAAGGTTCAATAATAATCGTCTTCTCAGAGCTCACTGATTTCCGTCTTTATTCTACCAGACTCTACCACAGGACGCCTAGCCTCTTTAGACACCACTGACTTGCTGAAATCAAATGCTGGCTGAGTACCCCTTTTCTTCTTCCACCGCTCACTCATCCCGTTCTTCAGTTATCACATCACCTGCGCCATCGCACGTATCACAATTCCCATCTAAACTGAAATCCATATTTCGATTAAGTACTTCTGGACACAAGAAAGATCCCATGGAGTCAACCACGTCACTAGCCTCATCGGCACCAGAGAGGATATCAGGAAGCAGAAGTGTTAATGGTACGTCGAGTCGTTCCAACAATCAACATCCAGAAAAGAGTAGAACTCTTGGTCCGTGGTTTCTTAAAGAACCAAAGCATAACCAGAAACTAAGGCGAGTTGCATCTGCTCCAAACACTAAAGCTGTTGAACCGTCCGGGAGCACAAATGTAGATAGTAATACACAGAACGGTCAGGATAATACACCTAGCGAAGGTTGCAGTAGCAACAATCAAAATGACAATAGAATGGCGCACGACGTCAAGCCAGCAGAACAACTGATCAAAAGAACGAGTATTTTTAAGAGAACGTATTCATCGAATTCCATAAAGATACGAAGCGTAGAAGTTGGACCGAATAGTTTTCATAAAATAAAGTTACTTGGAAAAGGCGATGTTGGAAAGGTTTACTTGGTGAGCGAGAAAAAAACGCACAAGTTATTTGCAATGAAAGGTAACGAATCACCAATTAAAGGGAGGAAACTGGCCGTTTGATTAGTTATCAACTTGAGTGTGAATTTGTTGGGATCAATCAAGTTTTAATATTGTTTTTCATTTGATTTAGTCATTAACCTGATTTTTACTCTTTTTTCTTTTGACGTCAGTTCTCTCAAAGAAGGAAATGATCAAACGAAAGAAGATCAAACGAGCACTTGCCGAACAGGTGAGAATGGTCATCAAGATTATTATGTCAGTATTAGTGACCGAGTTGAGTGGAGTTACGTTTTAGTAGGATATGGGGATATTATAGAATGAAGAAAGGTCGATTGAGTAATTTTACGTTAAAAAAGCATGACAACAAATACAATAGAATGAGCGATTTAACTGGGGTCGGGGAGACTTAATCGAATGGCGATTAGCAAACTTGGATGGCTGGTTTGAGTACGCTTACTATACCCATTAATAATGCTTCTATTGTATTATATTATTATCATTATTGTCACGTTCCTTGTATCGTTTACATCATATTATTCTACAACTCGTCTTTTATCTAATAGGAAATTCTGTCAACTCTGAATCATCCGTTCATTGTACCGTTATACCATTCATTTCAAAGTGAAGAATATTTGTATTTATGCATGGAATATTGCATGGGCGGCGAGTTTTTTAGAGGTGAACATACGACTTGGCATGTTTGATTATCAGAAATTGCAGTAGAAGGTTGTGTTTGTCGTTACTCACTATGATTCAAAAAATAGCATTACAGTCTCGTCCAGGAAAATGTCTGCTTGAACAAGACGCCAAATTCTATGCAGCTGAAGTCATTGCTGCGTTAGAATATTTGCATCTAATGGGCTTCATATACAGAGATCTTAAGCCTGAAAGTGAGTATACTCGATACTCTGCTAACAACCGATCTGACTACTAATCTGTATGTGAATTTATTCTAGACATATTGCTACACCAATCTGGGCATATTATGTTATCAGACTTTGATCTATCTAAACAATCGCATCCGGCAAATATGCCGGGCATTGTAAAAGGAGGGCCGGCCAATTTGGTAACTAATTATAATAGTTTGCATCATGACACATTTGCAGTTAATCAACCATTAATTCTAACCGCTTAATCCGTTATTATATCAAATTAGCCACCTTCAATAGACACAAAGTCGTGTATCGCCAATCTGCGAACAAACTCTTTTGTCGGAACAGAAGGTTAGTGGTGGGAATTCCTTGTTATATGCATGAAATGTAATAGTAAAAGAATCTGTATGTGACTAATGCAGTCTTTAATCTAACGTTATGGCAGAATACATTGCTCCGGAAGGTGCGTATATGAAGTTACTTTATTATTATCTGACATACCAGCTCACTATATTTAATTTTCTGTTCTAGTCATTGAAGGTTGTGGCCATACGAGTGCAGTAGATTGGTGGACGTTGGGTATTTTGATATATGAAATGCTGGTAAATCATCGCTTTACAAGTATTCGCAATCACGTCTCGATCCAACCAATTAACTGGTCAACTTTCATATTCAGTACGGTTTTACACCGTTCAAGGGTCCGACTCGAGATGTCACATTCGTAAACATAATGCGAAATGAGGTCATGTTCCCCGAACATGGAGGATATCAACAAATTACGAGGTAAAATTCTTGATGGGGGTCTAGTCAATGACAGACATGTAGCTTATTCACATTGCCAACACGATTACTAACGGGCTCATTCAACATAGTCTTTGTAAATCATTGATACGTAAGCTTTTATGTAAGGATGAGAATCGCCGACTCGGCTCCAAGGCAGGAGCGTCTGATGTCAAGGCTCATCCATTTTTCAAGAACACTCAATGGGCACTTCTTCGACATTCTCAACCTCCAATAATTCCACAACAAGGACATGGTGCTGATGCGGTCAATTTTAGAAACATTCAAGATTCGAGTAGCATAGACATTGATGGAGATACTATTATTACGTCAACGGCGGAGGGGGAGAATTTGTTTGAAGAATTTAGTAGTGGTAGGTGGACGAGAAGGGCGATTCGGAGTAACTCGTACTTTGGGACATTTTCACTAACATGTTCGTTTCTGCAGTCACATTACTTCATGATGGGGATGATGGATATGTATACGACTATGAATAATTTGAACAATTGAGAATGAACAATTCAATTCACACGTACTATTTCAACCGTATGACTGCGTCAGTAAATAGATACTTGTTCGTTTGATTGTTTATTTCAACATTCTTTTAACCGCGTATAATGGTTTAATAATAACGGACGCAGTGTGTTGGTTGAAACAAGGACTTTCGGATGCAGTCCGAATTTAATCTGGAAGTTTTTATGTAGAACTCGGAGGTATCAGCGATTTGTCATGGCATGTTGTGATGATTGCTAGACCTCTTGTACAAGAAATTTAGAATAGAAAAAAAAAAACTACTTGTGAAATACTTGAGAATACCAAAAAAGAAGAGAGAGTCAGTATCACAGTCTACTGTCTGTTGGTATAACTAAATAAATGAAACTCTTTATTAACATCGGTATCGTATCGGGTAAGCGTTCATCTTTGCAGGTCAGTCTAGTAATCACAATTTCGCCTCAAATTATTAGCATGTCTTGATATCTAATATTCAATGCTAACGGTAGTAGTGCTTTCCTTATGACACGTATCTGCCCTCTATAACAATAAGCAATTCGCAATTGCAAATTGCAATTGCTATTGCTAACCCTGTCAGTACCGAACGATTCATGTAATATCTTTCCTATTCAACTTCTTTTTCCGGTTGAATTTCTAGTGCTTTACCAGGATCATCATCCGGTTTGCGCAATGGCCAGTCTGGATATTGCTCTGTTTCTAATACCGGTAAAGTTTGCTTGGGACCGCCGCGGGCAGGCTCATGAGTGACATCAGTTGTAAGCTAACTTCATAGACAGCAAGCGCGTTGTGCGCGCACGCTAATTTCGAAGAGTATAATATTTAAGCGCTCCTTAACCGAATCCCGTTATTTCTGTACGTATCACCTTTGCCATTTCGATGGGATGCCTTTTCCTCTAGTGTTGAGAAATGAGCTGTTGTAATCATTAATATTTTTCTGTAATGCAAACACACTATCCGATTCGGTGTCTATCATGGGACCTCGTCAGCAGGACAATTCTCACATTGCGACCGTTGATAGCAAAGACGATTATTTACCTCAAATAGAGTATTTGTTTATCGAACGGTATGCGGACGGAATTTACCCATGATCATTAATGCTCTTTAGTTCTACCGAATTGAGGGTGATATCAGTATCTGAACCCCCGCTGTATGCCAAGTAGCCAGTCGCACAAAGTCAGGTGTCCGTTGGATATCGAAGAGTGGAATAACTTGATGTCTTGGATGGAAATGTTTTCTTTGGCATTCGCTTGGTGTGCAACCATCTGCGGCCTGTCAGCATCTAGACATTCCGTCTTGTGATGGATCTGCACTGAGACACTATGGAACGAAAATAGCTAGTCTCTGAAGGGGGGGGGGCACTGAAAAAATTTGAATATTGTTATCGTTATTGACAGCAACGAGACAACGAACTATGCATAACAATGAATCATGGGATTTTTCGTTGTGACTATTGGTGTTTATTGTAACCTAATTTTCTTTATACCTGCTTTGTTCTTTTACCTAATTTATACAATTTTAATTGTTGTTAAAATTGGCAGGTCATTGACAAAAAGTTTCAGTGTAAATGAGCCATAAAGAAGAACACAAACAAATTTTTTTGTTCATGAATACTTGGAACTGTCTGTTTGGGTAACAACAAACGTAGCCAAAGGGGGAACATGGACCAACTGTTTACTTGTACGTGTACTAATTGGACAATGGGACATGGGTGAGGATCGACGGTAAACATCACTTTTCCCGTTGCAATGGCTATTTCTTAAAAAATCAATCTAATGTGTGATTCCGATCATCTGATTTAATTGTATCACTTTAAAACGAAACGTGGCAGCAGTATTACGGTAAACTGGGCATATAAGTCTATACATATACGAAAGAGTAATGCATTGGCAATTTAAGACCATCAGTCACTTGATATCAATTAGAGATTGGAATGTCAACAAAGCGGGACATTTCGTAAGAAAAAAAAATAATCTCTGACTTGTAAAAACGTTATTGGTACGTTTTACATGTTATATGGTCATGGTACATAATATTTTGAAAAATAAGAGAGTCGGGGACTGGCAAAACATTGCACGATATGTCTTAGGTAATGTTCCGAACGTTCCCGGTAGAAATGTCTATGCATCAAGGTCGTTGAGCCTACTTACCATATTTGGGGGGCACCTCTATATTTGGTAAATTTTTGAAAGCACCCAATACATTAGGTCTCCTGACCAATGGATGTGCATCTCCTCGAATTTACAGCAAAAGGCTGAACGGGAAATAAGATTCGACTAACTTTTCTTGGCTATATCGTCTTTCTCCTTTTCGCAAAGCCACTTTGTCAGGGATGCTCACGAAAGTTTCAAGTTCCAGCAGTTGAAGGGGAATCTAGTCGACCGCACAACAGTGTTGTTTATCTCAATGGATTAATCATCTTTGCGTTCGTTGCTCACGAGGACTGATATACGTTCTTCCAAATATATATAATTTTTCGTCACGAGTTGCGAGTCACGTACACAAACATTGATCATCCATGTTCTACCGGCTGGAATGTATACAATAATGAAATTTTTAAATTACTGCATATTTCACCCCGCATCTATTCAAACATTTACCTTTCACAGTAAAATTTATTAGATACAAACAATCGTCCTTAATAGTGATATCCATTAGGGGTAATGTATATTGACTAATCTCTGCACAAGAATGTATTTCCTAATATAGAAAGACTTTCAGTTTGACGACTCGTGTATAAAATAACTGTCTGGATGATACCCGATCAGCACTCAAAGAATTGAGGTTCAAAGAGACAATTACATCAATCATCTTACAAACCATCCTTTACGATTAATAACCATGCCCAAATATTCACGCAGAAAGTTTCAGCAACCGATCAGTCCTAGAAGTTATTCGGTAACTTACACGCATTTGTGTATTAATAACTACTTCAAAGAATTTGTTCTATTTATCTTACTAATTGCTGTATTTTAATGGTTATAGAAAAAAATAAAGATGGAAATTTGTGATAACATTTACACAGAATATTATCCACAAATTGACAATGATGATAGCCAGGATGATACGAAGCAGGGACATTGGAGTGGTGAGGTAAATATGACATATAGCATACTTTATATTTAGACGTTTATTCAATGATTTTGTCTTATTCATTTCACTATCGTTACATTTCTAATGATGACAGGAAGATAAAATACTCATAGAAATAGTAAAAGCGTATGGTCCACATAACTGGGAAAAGAACTCTGTATACCATCCTAGTCGGAATGGCAAGCAAATGAGAGAACGATGGCTGTCTCATTTAAAAGGAGGTAAAAAATTTAACATA